TCCCTCTTATATTGGTAAGCATAGTTATATATCTGAAGGAATTGACTTTCGGTAGTCCGATCCTCACGTTCTGAACATCATGCACTGACTAATTGAACATGCTCACAAAAATGTCTCTGAATTCTCAAAGTAACACGAATTTATCCATAGCAATTATTCAAACTTCATCATTAATGTTAATCATATTATAGAGGAGAAATTAGTAATTTCAAATAAAATTTCAGCAAATGCGAATAAAGACACCTACTATGCATTTTCTACTTGGAAATTCATCAACAAAAACATTTTAGGAAAAAAAAAAAAAAAAAAAACTATAGGTATCCAGGCATTTGAAGAAAATTGCGTGAATTTTATACTTATACAGTACTTTAGCTTCTTCTATGTATTCAATTATTTTATAATGCAAAGTTTATAAAGTGTTTCCTATCATTGCAAAACACTGTAAATCATTTCTAATTTCATATCATGTTAATTAACATTGGTATCTAAGGTTATATTAAAGGAAAAGTCGATTTCTTTAAATCGGTATTTTTAACATATCTTTATAGGGTAAAATTATTAATGTTTTAAACGACTGTTTCTAAAACCTCAAAGAGCCTTTAATCATATTGAGATGCATAAAATGAAAATTGTTGCATGAAAAGATTTCATATTTTAGCTTCATTTTTAAACTTTTTGAATTAAATGATAAATTAAAGAGTTATCCTTCCTGGCTGAGGATCGGAGAAAGAAAGTATTCTTTCCCATCCCCCCCCCCCCTCCCACACACACACACACACACATCCTGAAATCGAAAAGATTTTTCAGGGATTTTTAATTTTGTTTTCTTGCATGTCAAATTTTCACGTTTGGCATCTGTTAAAGTTAATGTGAAACACTCCACCCACTCCATCCACCCCCAACCATCCATTGTAAAACAAAAATCTTTGATCCGTAACCTGAATTTTAATGATTTTTTTAATGTATTTATACAAATTAATGTCTCAGTTTAAGAACATGTTAAATAAATTTAATTAATGGTTTAAAAATCTTTGATAATAACATGTACATAGATATATTAGGCATTGCTAGGTATAACAAATATAGAGAAAATACATGTACATACTAGTTCGATAGGTGTCGGTCTTGGTTTCCACTGCATTATTCGTGTTATTAATTTATTTGCATCAAATGAATATAATAAATTCCTACAGTTTCTGCATACTTCTGCGGAAAGGAAAAATATTTATAAATTGAAGAAATGTGTGTGGCGATTTTTGGATAATAAACAAAGGAAACTAATTAATTTGAATTTTACATGCATTAAGTTACCAGTTTACTGTAAAGGGATGAATGGAGAAAATTCGGATAAGGAAGAAAACGACCGCTTTTAGATTTTTTTTTTTATATTGCATTATACCTTGTTTTTCATAAGGTTTTGTTGTTGATAAGATTCCAGGCTTATGAATCTTTTTCCCTCTTGAAACAACATGAACTTCCCTTGAGTCAGTGCTCCAGAACATCCAGCGGTTGCCGATATTTTTTTTTCGGTTTCTATCACAGAAGAGCTTCCAAGAGAGGTAATTCATGACAATAAAAGATGGGAAAAGTACCCTCATTATGATAAAAAATCCTTTCAATTTAAGCCTACTTAAGACTGCTTCTCAATTTTTAATTTTGAAAAAAACAGTAATAATGCTCACCTTTTAGAGAATAGCATCAGATATACATTTTCAGTCACTGAAAAAGGGTCAAAAATAGACTAAGTTCATGTAGAAAAACTAATAGCAATTAAAAAAATTTTGTTCACATGCAGACAAAATATAAAAATGCTAGTTTTTTTTTTTTTTTTTTTTTTTTTTTTTTTTTTTTTTTTTTTTTTAAATACTTTTAATCAGTTTTATTAATATTTATTGATTTTATATTTGTTGTACTATGCAAAAGTACTGCAAATTGACGCAATCTGAATTTATTTCTCTAAAGCATGTATTTTACTTACTTTGATATATGGTTACCATGGAAACGATTTGGCTAATCATTATATAATTTTACCAGTAATGATATTACTGTTAAAGAAGTTTTGAAATTTTTCAATTTTATAGTTTCCATCAATTACACTGAGTAAGCTTGATGATTTGTGACACGGCCTCTTAAATACTGTTTATCAATTCAATTGCTGATCTTTATTTGTTGATGGACTACGTAATACCGAATTATTTACTTAACTGGTACTTTCTGGACAACTAGTAAAAATTAAAAGAAATATAATTTTAACACCTTTTAAATAATGCCCTGTAAAAACATTCATGTAATTATTTAATTTAAACTTCTTTCTTTTCCATCTTATCAAAGCTTTTCACACACTTTTTACTCAACACATTTCATTTTACACTTTATTGACTAAGAACTCTTTTATATACCAGTATCTAAATTTTTTTTTGTGTCGTTTCGGAGGCCCGACGCATCACTTGCCACTTCCGTTTGTGTCCCCGAATGTATTTCTTTTAAAAATGTTAAAATTGCTGTTCGTCCTTAAAGGCTTTAATAAACTCGGAAGCTGGATTACTCGTAACTTTTGATTTATAATATATGATTTCGGGAAGAGTCCTAGGAATACGACACTACTACTTCCGACCCGCAGCGCCACTCCTTTCACTGGCAACATCCCCTCTTTCCAGACCAAAGACATATCGTTTTAGACCCAAAGTACGCCATAACACAGGTGCCAAATAATAAGATTTAAAATATTCTAGATACTCCTTTAAAGCAGAATACAACTGCGGGAAATTTAGCATCAGTTTTAGGTAAAATCACTTCAATCATTCCAGCGTTTGGTAGCAAATGTCAGGTGATGTCGAGGCATTTATACACGGCAGTATGTCAGAACTACTAGGGATTTGCATTTTAATATGCCAGATAATGTCAGAACATAATTAGAGTTTTGGTTAAAGAACTGCAGATTATTGATGAATATGCAAGCACATATGCAAGTGCAGGGTTCCTGGAAGAAGAAATTTTAGAGTTTGTCAAAAAATGTCAGAAATCGAGTGCATGAAAAGTTCCACCTGGAGAGAATTGAAATCGGTACAGTATATCTTAGAAATTTTTAGACGATAAAAATAAATGTCAAAATTTTAAATTCAAGCATTTCAAGCAGCAGCACTTTCCAGAAACTACAACATAGGTAGAAACAATTTGTTACTTAGATTTTAATTTTAACTAAGGCATGCCCTTGCAATATTGAAATTTCTTTATGACTTCCGTGCAGAACACATTTTGTGCATTTATCACGTGACTGTCAAATCAGGTGACCAAACAAAATTCAATTCACGAAGTGTGATATATACTATGTTCTCTCAATCAATATTGAAGTTATGTGATAATTTGATGGCTTCACAAAAATAGATTCAGTTGAAAAAGACATCTATTTGCTTTCATCTATATTCCGTTGATTTCCTCATACATTGTAGTATGCATTAACATTGCAACGTACTGTACAATATTTTACATGTTCAAGATTGTGCTGTCATTTTTTATCACGATGTTATCACATAGGGTGAGTTAACTATGCATCGGACACATACCTTGCTTCGGACGACTTTAAGCAATAAACTTTCATTGAACCTGAGTCTCCCTGTGCTTTTTCTTGTTTCTGTCTTGAGGGTGAAGATTTAAACTTTTTAATGATGACGACTTTTATTTTCAAGTTGTGATAAAAAGACCACAATAATGGTCTTGAAATTACGTCATATTGTGTATCATCAAAGGGGGGTAACTAGAATTTTACGAATTTGCATTTTTTTTTTTAGAGTTGTCGTACTTTTAATTAGACTTAGGTAAAATTTGTCAATGATTGATGATTTTTAAGAAAAGTTTTACTTTAATGTTTGTATAACATGTTTTATTTTTTTTTCTTTTTACTAGTATGTTTATTTCACCGTATATCGGACACAAATTAACCATGCATCGGACACTTTCCGATGCAAGGAAAATCACTTCCATTTTCATATAAACCCAAATGACAGCTTTTTTTTATGGAAATAGAATATAAAACCTCAAAATTTTCAGTGAAAATATAAGTTTTTGATAAATGACGACTAGAAGTGGACTCAGTTTATTTCTAAAACTAGATGATGATAACCCATGAGACAAAGGCGCAAGTTGCCATATTACTGGCATTGTAAAGCCTTTCTAAGGCGATGTGATGCAACTAAAATCTCTCCCATTTGTAGTTTGAAATAGTCATTCAAATTCAACTAGAAGGTTAATTTTTAAATAAAACACAAAAATGTTTCAATATCAAGATCAAGGTACAGTGTATGACATATTTTCCGGTTTAAATACCGAATGTCCGGTGCATGGTGAATATTGTCCAATCCATGGTGAATTCTAACCTATTTCGAAAAAAAAAATCGGTTTTTAGTGATATTTTCTCAATACAAAGTACATAATTGTGTCAAAAATTTATGTTTTAACCAAATACTACACGTTAAGCTCCATTTTAATAATATTCGGTCGGTAACGATAACTCTAGAACTTGCTGAAGTGCGAGGGTGTCCGATGCATCCGGTGAATTCACCCTTTGTGATATATTTATAACTTAAATATCTATTATTGATAAAGTTTTACATTAAAACAATAATTTTATTGATGTATTTATGAATTTGAAAGGATAATCTTCAAAGCACATGTACATCAAATATTGAAATACTTATATACATGTTATATACATGACATTTTTAGAACGCGTAAGGCAATCGAACTATAAAACTTTAGAACACAGAGGAATAGATGGATAGATGCATTTAATAATATCAGATAGACATATCTTTAAAAATTTAAAGTCTGGGATGGGATATTCCAAACATGAATGGTTTTAATCTAAGTCAAATAAAATTTAGATACTTTTAAGTGCTTTACATGATAATGATTCATTTACGTAGAACATTCTTTCATAGGTTCATGAATTGAATTTTGATCCGAACGATACGCTTCAGTGTTTTTTTTTTTTTTTAATTTTATCATGAGTTCTTGATAATGCGATTAAGATTTTTCCAGAATTCCTTCTGCAGGGATGAATCTTCTGGTATATAGTCAAGAAAATATTTTTTGTCAATTAAATCTTTTATAGCTGTGTCACAACCTCCTTCAAACAAATCAGGCATTAGAATAAGATGGACATATCCGAGGGATCCTCTTTCCTTTAAACCTTCCATTTTCGCCATGTTTAATTCATATGTTCGCCATTTTGATTTCAGATACGCTTTTGACACAACGCAAATAGTTCTTTTACTCCGACCAATTGCTTTCATGATGTTATCAATTTTAGAATTACCAATTTCGAAGTGAATATCACGAATTAATAACCTCAAACCTTTAGCTTCCAGTTTTGGTTTCATCTTCTGGAATACGAATCCCCTATTCTCGCCGACATAAGATATAAATGCATGGTAAGGATATTGCAATTTATCTTGCTTCATTCCATAGTGACTGATTTCTTCAAAGCTTTCATCAGTATTGACCCCAGCAAATCGGGTTTTGTAAGCAGATTAGATGATTCCTCTATTCGTTTAGATGAAGAAAAACTTTCATTTTGTCGTTAACTTTATAAAGGAAGTACTTTATGTGCCAGATGTTTTTCCGAATGATTATTACAAGTATAACACTAACTACTAGAGTAATCACAACAGTTGTTGTGACAATCCAAATGTTAAAATTCATACAGTCAAGTTTGAGTTTTTGGAGAGATTGTTCCATGTATTTAAAATCGAAATGATTGGTACGATCCGAGCAAGTATACTTTTGAAAACCTAAAAAATGCATTCTGCATTATACAACCATTTCAAGAATTCTAAATTTTCACATCTACAATACAAGTTGTTCTTTTGTAGGTTAATGATTACTTTTGATTTTTCGAAGATGTAAGTAAAAGCATGTATAGTTTCATTTGTAAAACTCGTTAATCTGTTATCGGAGAGATCAATATAAGAAAGGTCAGTCATGTGACGCAATCTGAAGTTATGATTAAGTTTTAGTATTCTTAATTTTGCCAGATTTTGAAAAGTACAGATTGGTATGTGAACAAGTCTGTTGTTTGATAGATCGAATTCTTCTAGTTTTCGCTGATATTTAAAGAATTGGCATCTTCTGTCCATTTGAATTGGTAGCGACAAAAAATTTCTTGCAATGTTTAAGTACTTTAATCCAGTACCGCTTGAAGTAAAACGGGGGGATATTCTAGAACAAAAATTGTCTGATAAATCTAGATTTTCGACATGCTCCAACCCAAACACAGGATGATTCCACGAAAAGAGCAGATTGTTCTGCACGTAGATGTTTTTCAATTTCGTTGCATTCATGATAAGTTTTGGAATCCCTCCATATAATTTCCTTGAATTAGCATACATTGTTGTAAGATTTGGAGGAATGTAAACTGTTATATTTGGCAAAAGTCTGTTTTCATGTACGTTTGAATATTGTTGGTATTTATTTTTACTCGACTCAACTGCGATTTTCTTTTCGTTGCATTTCTCAAAAAGATCCGGATAAAATCTTACAGGTTTCAAAAGTAATGTCATGTTATATTCTTTCAATTGACGTAGACGCAGCTATGTTAAGGCTTCCCGAAGCTTTAAAATGCGCTCAAAACATAATATGTCATTGCGAGGTCGGTTTTGGTTTTAATTTATAAGTATTGAACTTTAGTACTTCCAATTTATATAAAGGGTTTCCTCGGCTATATATTAGCATATTTGTTATGATATCACATGACTTTGTTGATCACGTGACAGTCATTTATAATTTTTTGAAGTGTTTCATATAAATCGCTTCGGTGCAGCTGATTAACACAATAATTATTAACATTTTGTTATATAAATAAACTCAGCGTATCCTTGTGTATCCGAAATGTGCTTGGGAAAAGTTATAGTATTACTTGGGTACAAAATATTTCCTGAGAAATTCAACTTACCTACAAATTTGAGGGTATTTTCCACACAATATCGTAATCTGTATTAAAACAAAGCCAACACACATTTTTCCCAAGCAAGATTCAGATAGAGAACAACCTCTTCTTACAGATCTCCACTAAAATTATCAGATTAATCCTCATTAATCACCTGCGCCAGACTCTTTTAAACACACAAAATAAATTCTACCTCCAACCACGGGTATAAAACAGAGTACATTTCAAAAGTATATTTTTCATAAGCATTTTGAACATGATGAATTTCAATCAAGGGTAGGTAAGTGGTGCATTTTTAAAATATTCGGACATATAAGACTTAAAAAACCTTTAACGACCCGTGAATTTTGCAAAAGCTATCTAGCATTTTACATGCAGTTTGAAATAAAGTGTAAAGTTCATGACACTCTCCCCGTCATAGCACCTCAAGTTTGCAGTGACCTGACGTCATTTTCCATTATGACGTCATATTTTGGTAGTTCAGAGATGTGAAGGCACAGGGTGCACTGTCATATTCTACGGGAAGCCTTAACCTACCTGCGGAGAGAAAAATTCAAATAGATATATTCCTGTTGTGAGTCGGTTTAAGGCGAAAGATAGTTTCTCCAATGTTGTAGGCATATTTGGCAAAACACCTTTTCCAATTAATTCTATCCTATTCTGTGAAAAAGAGGCCTCAACAAGTTTTGTTTGACGCAAGTTCTCGATATGGGAAATTGATAATATTGTTCCAATACCAAGTGAACAATGGATATTGTCTGCATGAAAAACTTTGATTGATGTTTCGCTCAGACCAAAGGTTGCATTTGGGAGAGAGACAAATCCTAATTCCTTATTGTGAGAAATATCGAGTTTTTTCAAGTGCCGAAGCAGTTTGAAGGGCCCTTTATCAACATAAGAAATTTTGCATTTACTTATATTGATATCCTTCAGAAAAGGTATGTTTTTGAAGAAATCTGCTGATAAACTTCTAATATTGCAAATACCTGTTATTCCTGATGTGTCAAGAACAGAAAGGTTCCGAAGATTTCTGAATCCATCGCCAAAAGTTAAATTAAAAAGTATGTCTATTTTAAGTATTTTCAAAGAAACAAGTCTGGAAAAAGCTCAATCAATAGAATTTGAATTCACGTCAGTTATTGCGTTCCTCTTAATATTCAATGTTTCTAAACTTCGCAGAGAAAGAAATACGTCCTGGTAATAGATTGATTCTGACAGTGTGAGATTATTCTGTTCGAGATTTAAATATCTTAAAACTGAAAGTCCATTGAATGGTTTACCAGGGAGAACTGAAATATTGTTTTTTGACAAATTAATAAATTTGATTTTCCTGGGAAATCTCCATTGTATTCCCGCTATGTTATTATCACTTAAATCTATCCATACTGTCTCTTCTGGAAGTGAAGTAATTTTATATCCCTTGCTCAGTCGACTACTACAATCAATTTTCAATCCTTGTTTAAATTTAAATCTGGTACACTTGCATACATCACATAAGTACGCTCTATCTGTAACCACTAATATCCACTGAAAGAAATAAAAACACACAAATAGCCAGTGATACACTTTCATGGTCAATCTTAACTGTGTTTTGTCACTCAAACACATCGAAAGACATTCTCTTTAATTTCCACTCATAGGTTTAAGCAATATAAATTACAATAAGAGCCAGTGGCATTAGTTTTTATTTTCTTCCGGGTTGATACAAAGTTCACACAAATTCATCACCTCTTACAAGTTCAAAATAAATAATGAACCAATTTTTATAAAAGTCACAATATCTTGTGAAGAGTTTTTTTTAACATTTTCTTTCAAAATAAGGTTATTGGGGGGGGGGGGGGGAGGGTCAAATGTATTTGCCTTACAATAGCCATATACTTTGTGGCATGTGAATATAAATATTATTGGCGATGAATATTTTTTTTATGGATAAATTTTCCGGGAAAACCCTATACCGTATATACCCGCCTATAAGTCGGTTGTATTTTTTAAGCTTAAAATTGAGGGATTGACCCGCTAAAATAGCAATCTTTTTATAACTTGCGGATACGTCGGATACAGAATTCTGGACCAAAGTTTAACTCCCAAAAAACCGACTTATTGGCGAGTATATACGGTACATTGTATATATTAACTACCAAAAATAATAGTTTTAAATTTTTTTTCGGGGTCTTCAGAATCTTTAAGTCTACGTACAAGAACAGATATACATGTAGCCTGAAACATATTATAAACATAAATGATGTTCAATTGTCAGATAATGTCAGACAGTGCACAAAATATTTAAACATATGAACACATATAAACAGACTGTTTAAACGTCAATTGCGCCCTTAACACGGACATATCAGATGTATTTTGAGATCTTGTAGAATCTTTCATATGGAATTATACAAAATTATGTAAAGTACAGTCTCTACAATATATAATTAGATAAGTCTTTATATAACCGAAATAAGATTTTAGACCTAAACCAGGTATTTTTATATTTAAAAGTTCAGATTTGGGTTTTTATTATCCAACGTATGTGTTTTGCGCCAGTTTTTCACTTTAAATTCGTCTGTAAAAAATTTCTCTAAAACAAATACTGAAGTAAAAGACAAACATATATCCATACGTTATATTCAGTATGTGAAATTTGTGAAAAATTGACCTCCTTGCTTTCAACAAAAAAAATTAATCCTGATGAAAATTAAATAAACATTCGATTGTTCTTTTACTAGTGTAATTCTTTCGCAAAAGATATATAGAGTATTTATTTTGTCTTGTTATATTGTAACTTTCTTTAGATTTCTGCATATAAAAACATTCCCTGTCCTGAATACAATATTTGACAAGATATAAAGAAGTATAATGGCAATTTCAAAGCTACTTAATGACGGAAGATATTTCTTCACAGTCGCAACTTTTGATAATAAATGTCCAAAGTGGTAAACTGTGTTTTTTTCCATTTAAATGTAGATACATATTTTACTACAATTCTTTCTATTTCCTGTTTAGAAAAAAGTCCGATTTTTTTTTTCAAAATACAAATATAAGAGCTATTACTTATCTGGTGATTAATCATTGAATAAAAGATAAATGAAACACTCAAATTCTACAAAAATATCCTGTTCAACAGCTAGTTGAGTAACTATTTCCCAGTAGGATAATGACACGTAGGGCTAGGACAATATTCGGAAATATACAACTAGAATTTTATACACTGATACGTTTACTTAAGTGCGTAAGAGATAAATGATCGAAATTTTACATTACACATTAGAGTTTTACATCCAAAGGTATACAACACTTCAAAATTGTCAATGTATCCATTGAGGGAGAATTGTGTAAAAAATCAGGATCAGGAGTATTTAAGTCAAAATGGATATTTGAGGGAGTCATATATGACTCGAGAGATTCCCGAAGTTGTAGTAATCATGGAAGAAATCTTGATCGTTTCCTTCTGATGATCATCAATAATTAACTTTTATTTTAAACTTTTTATCCGCAGTTTTCCTTTATTATTGTATTATTTTTTGTTTTAATAAACATTGAATTTGTAGTTTTTATTTATGCAAGATCATTAAAGTCACTAAAAGTTTTCCAGCTGTTTTACTGCTGCATGTACTATTGAATTGTAGTATCAGTATTGAAAACTTTATGGTTATACCAAAGCGAAAGAGAAACAAGAAAACTTTGGGGTAGATGTTAATAAGTACGGTCAAATATTAAAAGTTCGATTGTTATTTCTGCTGAGAGTATAATGAATATTTTCAATATGTTTTAGATGGGACAAAATCGACAGCAAGGCTCAACTCTGAGAAATCAAAAACGTCAAGGGATAAATTATATAAAGGCTGAAATTTTTTTACTGTAC